TTCTCATTATGAGAGCTTGCTTTGTTGGAATTAGCTTGCTAATTCCAGCTAAATAAATACATTTTTTTCCTCAAATATAACAAAGAGAATTATGTTTAGGGAGAAATGGAATACTGGTGTGTATTTTTTCTTTAAAGTACCGAGACCAGCCATACAGTATACAGTTTACATAACATGTTTATGTTCCAAAATTAATATTGTTTATGGCCTTCACACGCGTTATGCTCCTATTCTTTTTATGCTCAGCTACTTAGATTTCCCTTCAGGGGTAAAATTCCATATAAATATTCAATACTTTAAAGGGCACAGTAAAGACATTAAATATACATATATATAACGTATACAGTACAGGTTGCATACAGTAATATGTTTATGTTCCTAAATCAATATCTTTTATGAGCATGTGAAAGGCATGGTGAATTGGAGATTGAATCGGAATTACTGTACTTTGCATGATTGGAAACAAATGTGTGATTGGATCAATGAAATGCTGTGGTGTTAGTTTTACAAAGACAGTCAATTAAAAAATGAATGTGGACCAGGGCAATACTTTGAGTTTACAGCTTCTCCAAGGTCATTCATTATAAATACTATTAGTATCATCTTCGGTAAAGACTTTGATGGCGACAGCTCAAACATGAGAGGTTGAGCTTTATTAGCTCCACCTTGCGGGAATTCCAGATACTATTATTTTACTTGCGGTATCAAGCGGTATCATGCGATACTATGTGAGAATATACGGTATTGATACAGTAACTTGCATTACACCGCGACAAGCGCACCACAAAATAATGCAGTATTCCCCACTTGTTTTGAATGGCTGCATCTGTATATAGCGCTTTTCTGGACACTCCACTCAAAGCGCTTTACAGGTAATGGGTACTCCCCTCCACCACCACCAATGTGCAGCATTCACCTGGATGATGCGACTGCAGCCATAGTGCACCAGAACGCTCCCCACACATCAGCTTTCAGTGGGGAGGAGAGCAGAATAATGAAGCCAATTCATAGATGGGGATTATTAGGAGGCCATGATTGGTAAGGGCCAATAGGAAATTTGGCCAGGACACCGAGGTTACACCCCTACTCTTTTCATGAAACACCCTGGGATTTTTAAAGACAATGAGTCAGGACCTCAGTTTTACATCTCATCTGAAAGACGGCGCTTGTTTAGAGTGTTGTAACAGAAGAAATAA